GTCATGATCAAACGACTCGAGCGGCACCAACGCAGACAGTTGGCGATAGAAAGGACAATATTCGAACCATGACTACGACAACAACAATATCAAGGTCATGTTATATATAGTTGGTAGCCTTGCTGAAGAGTATGTTAAGCTAAACGAGGTCGATGATGAGGTCTCGAGGCAGGAGACCCGGCCGATGACATATGGATCCATTGAATTGCCTGGGAACTTGGGCTTGGAACATGTGACCCCTAGCGCGTCAGATGCCCATCCGCGTAGTAAGAGAAATAAGACCTCGTTTTTTTTCATATTTAGTATCAAATACGCAGTACACATGTAGTTTGCTACATAAAGCTTGAAGTAGATATTCACTTTGTTCATCATCTATATTCCATGATGGATGTCGACGAAAAGGAGAAATACTTTGGAGGCGGAGCTCAAAACAGAAAGCCACTCCCATTGAAAGAATCTCATTCAAGAAATGAAATTATAGACTCTCCACATAGGGCATGGAAGGGGGTGACAATCTACGCAGAAGTCGAAAGTCGGTTACGCTACTTTTGCTGTCTCAGAATTACTTCGACCTGATATTCTGTGGGAATGACCAGAGCGCTCGCGAATTCATAGGGCCTCTTAGCTTTTCCATACCTTTCCCCATCCTCCCATTGCAATAAACTCCACTCGGGCAACACACATTTATGATTCATCGGCTTCTGTCCGATTCCGTACTCACGATCCGGTAGTATAAGAGACAGGAGCTTGAACTCTCATGGTGGTCTAGCGGAGGTAACCTAATCTACTACTCAAATGTTCACCATACCCGTCGTTATCCAAGATGAATTCGAAAAGCTATGCGAAACAAACATGCGATTAATGGTGTTGAAATAACTTTAATCTTCACGAATCGATTCAAAGTTAGCCGAGCCACAAAACTGGTTCCGTGAAACCCCCTCAACCCACCTGCATGGACCAGCAGGCATTTATTAGTTGACTATCAGCCTTACCTCCCGATTGCTTGGAACCCCCAGTTGTTTCAAAATACCTCCTTGCGGCTCTGGGATGGGCTTTCGTTTGTGAAGGCCACTTTCGAAGGGCACGAATTTCAGATTGGTAACACTAGGATGCCCTCTTCCCGACTTGAAAAGCAGGGGAAAGAGGTGTGTTACTGAGACTATGTTATAGGAATAGGAAAATCAATTACCACGGCTAATCCCTTCCTCTGGGCCAAATGGCGATCACAGCGGCTCTTTTACAGATGGATTCTCAAGACTCGCGCACCACCCCCACAAGACCACCTTGGTGGGTGCTGGCCATCGCTGTAAAACCCGTGCCAACCTTACCGAAGAATTTCAGCCCCATTTTCAAGATTTATCTATAAATCCCACACAATCTGATAATATATTCAATGACCTTCTCTGAGTATTGCCCAGGGTCCTCTGAATCATGTACCAATTTAAAAAACAAAAAATTGTGATTAATGATGAGTTATTGTAAAATTGGTTACAGCGGTGGCCAGCAGCCAACGAAGGTGGTCTTGTGGGGGAGGTGCACCAGTAGATCATACTGCTTCTTGTCCATGACAGAAATTTCAATCTGTTGCAGTTGAAGGAAACTGTACCAAAGGAATGAATGATCTAGACCAGACCATTAAAAGGTAGTTATTCAAGCAGCTAGCTATTATTATTGTTGTTATCATCATTTATCATTACCATCAAGGTATTCATGTTTCTCTTGCTTAGCTTGCAAACAGAACTTATGATAAACCAACCTGCGGGTGCTCATTCATCCTAGTTAAAATAAATAAATACATTGGCCATCCCATGAAGAGGAACATCATTCCTAAAGCCTGCTACAAAATCCATGGATTTATGAAGTCAAGAGCATTTGAATAGAGCATATGCTGTGATCTAGAATGCTTTTATGTCCGATGTAGGTAAGGGCCTGTACTTTCCTCAGGACGTTAATTTGTGGTACTCTAGATTGTTATCATCTGAAGCAATTTCCTTAAGTGTATATATCTACTCAGTGATTCAATTTCCTTCTTCTTCTTCTTCTTTTTTCTTTCTTTTTTTTTTTTTTTTTTTTTTTTTTTTTTTTTTTTTAATTTTAAAAATTTTTATTCTAATTAATCAACGTTACATTTTACAACAAGAATCAATAGAGTCAAGGTTTGACAATATATTTGCAAGTAGGCCGTGAAAGCCGCCGAATATTGACAGTTCGCACCATTCTATAAATTGCGCCCTACCGTATCGCCTAGACAGCAAGAATCGGGAAAATAGGCTAGCTGTAGGGTTAGCATTTGGTGTTCGGCGAGGAAAAAAGAAACATCATCAAGCTACGGAGTACTCAGATATGCGTGCTACGTAGTATCGTTTCTGCCAATACGTACTACGGAGGAGAGCCCTGTCAATTACAGGGCTGTTGGGTTTGAGTTTGGCGTGCGAACTCAGTTGCCAGCTGGTGGGGTTTCCTTTGTCTCACGGGAAGCGGGAAAGCCCCGATAAGGACTTTGTTTTCTAATGTGTGGTGAACCGGTTCGGATACCTGTAGTAGTGACCGAAAAAAAAAAAAAAAAAAAAAAAAAAAAAAAAAATCACCTTGCCAGACATGACAACGCAAGCTGATTGACCACGCGCAAGGCATCAAATCGATATATACCAAATCTTTCCTTTGCTGGATGTTAAATAATTGGTTTGATCGATCCCGATGGCCCGTGGAGTGGATCGCGAAAATACTAGTATTTGGGTGCGGACCTAGCGATGACATAACGCCTGCTGTGCGGGGAGCCAATAATAGCTCAGAGAGCCCCTCGCCCTCAACTCGAAGAAGCCTGGGCGGCGTGTTCTGGAAACGTAGGTGGAACTTCGCTGCGAGACAAAACATGACTTACATCGAACTTTTTCAACGACTGTGTGGTTGGAGTCATCTGACCAGCTGGATTTTGGCTCGTCGGGTTGGTTGAAAAATCTTCCCCCAGGGAAAAGAAAAAACGGAGAGGAAAAAGAAAAAGGAAAAGTGGCCCCCAATTATCTGAGCTTAGTCCACAGCCCCCAGCCCCCGGCCGGGGAGAGATGTGCTGACTGACGTTGAACAAAATATGGCCGCCAGTTATTTATTAAGGAGCAAGTGGAGATCCATATCGCAAACATTTTTTGACGATGGTAAGTTGGAACTGATGCCATTATTTAGTTAATAACAACTAATATTAATGGTTAGTTAATGCTGGCGCACCCATCGGAATCGGTAGGGGATAGACAGGGTTAGAAAGAAACGGACCAGGGACCCGGAGAACCAGCATCAAGAAAATTAGTTTGGGCTCATAATTCTCTCCCAGAAAACGATAATAATAAACTCCCAAACGCCGCACTTCTGCCCGGAGTGCACTCGCCAGGAAACTCATTTCCGCTGGCCTGAGTCCATTGTTCCTGTATCCATGCCACTTTTGCACCAATTCGGCATGTTTTCCTCCGGTGTGATGATCTGATCTTAGACCTTTCTTCCACCTGTTTGTGCGTGCACTGGAGAAATCCACTGGCAAGGGAGAAAGAGGATATCAGCTCGGCCTTCCACCCTTCAGCCAATTGCTTGCTTATAACGAGGCAAGTACGCAGTATATCCTTGAAGCCAACGTGGGGCGTGTATTAGCCTACTAGTAGGGCAATGGATCTGTCCTAGTGAGGACGTCCACAAGAAGGTGTCTGAACAGACAAGGAGAGAAGTGAGGGGAGAAGGCAAGGCACCAACAGCGCCAGCGTTTGCTGGCGTGCTGGCGTAATATTTAATACAAATATTGGTAGTGTAAATAGTCTCTTCAAGTTCCACCGCCCTCTTGTCAAGGCAATGGTGGACGTCACAAATTGTCAACAATACATCCATGGATGTGTTCGGTCGGTAGCCCCAAACTCTCCGATTCCGATTCATCTGCGGTCTGCGGTCTGCAGTCTGCATTCTGCATTCTGCAGTCTGCCGTCGCTGTAAGCTGAGCGTTCCATAACTTCTCTGGTGGTGTGTGTCCGTGTGTGTGCGTGTCTCCGTGTGTGCCCAGGGTGTTTTGTATATATCGCTCTCATTTTCCCTCTCTGTTTCTCCCTTTTCGTAATAACTACCTATAACTAATACCTGCTACCTCCCTCTCAAATCAACCTTCCTTAGCTCCTCAGATTCCTCCCCGATCTATATTCTTATCACCGTTACTTGACCGTTGCCTGCTTACCATATCCCCGGTACGTTGTTGCACTTTGCTCGGGGCGCAACCTGGTTGGTTGGTCGGCAATTCCGGTAACATTGATCAAGGTTGGTTGGATCTATATTTTTTTTTCTCTCTTCCTGGATCCCTCTGGCTCGCCAGAAACGCTGTATCTTCAAGTTTGTGGTCTCTGGCCCTCATTGTACCTTTGGGTTTGCCTTCCTGCTGCTTCTCGCCCATCACCATCCTGCATCCTGTTCGTGGCGACCCTAACGATGAACAGTGACGACCAGCTGTTTCTGTAACTCCATTTGGAGATTTCCAGACTTCCAAGAACACTCGATCGAATCTATTTGGCGGCCGAGCTCTCGACGTCTAACCCTCATATTCCACGACGAAACTCACCGTCAGCTAGACTGATGTGCCACGAATCGGTTCGTCACTCAAAAAACTTCCTTGTCTATGGGTGAAATAAGGAGCCATCTGTGCTTTTTGATATCTCTTTCATAGTCACTGTTATATTGACGCTTGCATGACCTGCACCTCTGGTAGTAGACTTGGACGATCGTCTGTACACCATTCTCACGGCAGCGCCCTTTTTTTTGCCTTTCCCCAACCCGACCGCCCGGCTCGTATATGCCTTCTGATCCCCGATAGAGTTGTGCGGACCGTTGGTGCGTAGTTGAGGAACACAGGAAATATGGATTCAGAGCGTCGCAATGGGTTCAAGCGGAACTCTGCTCGCCAGGAGAGTCATAGTCGTCCGGTGGAACGAAGACCCAGTAAAAAATCCTCTTCCAAGGATCGTCATGGGATTGTGTATCCTGACAATTTTCAAGACTCCACAATCCGCACGGTAACCCCCGATCCTCCGCAAGACCAAGCAAGCAATTCCCCCGCCTCCGATACTGAGTACCTTCCGCCGAGCACAGCCGTATCGCCCCGCACAACTATTCGTAGCAAACCTTCGGAAGCGAGGCGTGAGTTTACCCCGTTCTATTCTACCGGCGAGGAGGATGAAACCCCAGCCGAGCAGAGGAGTCGAAGGTTGAGGTCGAAGACAACCACCCTGGAAGATCAGAGAAGTGAGGTGTCCCCCAATTTCCTCTCAAGAACACGGACTAGATTAGGCTCCCTCAATACCACTTCCCCTTCAAGTACCAAATCCCCAGAGGATTCGGTAGGGTCCATTGGCTATCCTTCTATTATACAGTCTCCCACTCAACGGCAGCAGAAATTAATTAAGCCGCCCCCAGGAGGACAAGCATTAATGTCTAGTGCTTCTCGCATTGATGTTGCGCTAGGGTCGCCGTTTCTAAATACAGATTCCTCGAAGATCCTCCAATTGATGAAAACAACTTGCGGTCGAATGCACGGCATACTGTATTTCCGCACTTCTGTCACTGCTTCTTGGACTTCTGGATACTGTGCTATCAATGTGGCGACAGGGAGCTTGATTTACCAGGCTAAGGGCGAGCCAGCGTTTGCGAAGACATTGATACCGGATCTCCGCGGTTGTCATGTTCGGACGCTGTACGACACAGAAACCCAGAGTTCTTATCTTTCTGTCTCGACGCATTCTTCTACTCTAGGTATTCAGCTACGGCCCCATGTCAACGAAACGTTCGATTCTTGGCTAGCAGCGCTGCTCTGCTGGCAGCCCATACGTCCAAAAGGCGTACGGGATAAGATGACCAAACCGCAAACTGTGACTATTGGCGAACGCCGTTTCATAGACCGTCGAAGGAACTCCGAAAGTACTGTGCAGAAGGATGCTGCGATTATTAAGGTTGGAAAAATGCTTCTCTGGGATAAGCCTAGCGCGGCTGGAGTGCATCTACCCACGTCTGCAACGAGGGTATCAACATTCAAGCAGCAGAGAGCACTATCTCCTTCATGGCGAAGGGTGAGCTGCTCTTTACAAGAAAACGGCCATGTCAAGATTTTCCCAGAATCGGACATTACCCCCATACATTTTATTCAGCTTTCTCAGCTTTCCCGCTGCGCTATTCAACAGTTAGACCCTTCCGTTCTTGAAGACGAGTTCTGCATTGCTATCTACCACAATACACCGCCCATTCAGGTGCAGAAGTTACCACACGACCGATATACCTGTCTTTCGAGACTCGAGTTCTCTTTGAAGTTTGGTTTGTGTTGTTTCGAGCCTTTACCATTCCAGAATTATACGGCCCCGAACAATTCCCATCAAATGAAGACCCTCGAAGTCAAACCGCGTCTACACCCCACCCAACTTTCTTGAACGACATGTTCCGCATTGAACGACTTTTATCAGTGCGAGTGATCGAGGCAAAGATGACTGCACCACTTAAAGACGACAGTGATACCCCGAAAAATAAAAAGATCATGAAAACCCAAGCAGCAATAGGAAAACCTCAGAAGCAAAATCCGGCGGCTGGGGAGTATTATGCTGAGGTCTTGCTTGATGGGGAGATACGAGCGAAAACCGCCATAAAAGCTACTACCTCGACGCCGTTTTGGCGAGAAGACTTTAGCTTCCACGATCTGCCACCCGTCCTATCCAGCGCGTCAGTTATTGTGAAATCGCTCACCCCTACGCAAAAGGAGTGGACGCTTGTAACCCATGGTCCCTATTCGCTCAACCAAGGGGAAGTCAATCCAATGACGGTTGGGGATGTTGAGGTTGCTTCGCATGACGCTACGTACGGTAAAATCGACTTGCGCTTGGATGAGCTAGATGCAGCGGGGGTGGAAAAGTGGTGGCCCATACTTGATGAAAATGAGCAACAGGCCGGAGAAATGCTGATGAAGGTCCAACTTGAGGAAACTGTCGTTTTGGTGTCTCAAGACTATGCGGCGATGTCAGAGCTACTGCATTCATTCCCTAATGGGCTTACGATACAGCTTGCGCAGGTTATCCCTGCTGAACTACGACCGCTATCAGAAACCCTGTTAGACATATTCCAGGTCTCAGGCCAAGCTGGGGAGTGGATAATGGCGTTGGTGGAGGATGAAATTGATGGCATTCACAAAGAGTCCTCGGCCAGTCGTCTAAGATACACCAGTCGAATTCACTCAAACGACTCCTATGAATCTGGACAGGAAAGGGAAGTCCTAGTACGTGACCTAGGTAGATCAGCCACGGTCGAAGCAAACCTGCTTTTCAGAGGCAATTCACTGTTAACGAAAGCGTTGGATTTACATATGCGCCGCCTAGGACAGGAATATCTTGAGGAAACAATCGGCTCCAAGCTTAGAGATATCGACGAAAGCGATCCGGATTGTGAAATCGATCCCAACCGAGTACAGCGACCTGAAGATCTAGAACGGAACTGGAGGAATCTTATCATCCTTACTAGCAGTGTGTGGACGTCCATTGCCGCTTCCTCGGCGCGATGTCCTGCCGAGCTGAGACATATCTTCCGACATATCAGAGCGTGCGCAGAAGACCGTTATGGCGATTTCCTCCGATCAGTCACCTATAGTAGCGTTTCCGGTTTTCTTTTCCTACGCTTCTTTTGCCCAGCGATTTTAAACCCTAAATTATTTGGACTGCTCAAAGGTTTGTGATGGTTACAGTGCTTAAAAAGACTTTTCTATGTGTGTCAGCTGCTAATATACTATCACTAGAACATCCCCGCCCGCGTGCTCAACGCACACTCACTCTCATCGCCAAAGCGCTGCAAGGATTAGCAAACCTGACGACCTTTGGCAACAAAGAACCTTGGATGGAGCCAATGAACAAATTTCTTATATCTCACCGAGTCGAGTTCAAAGAATTTGTAGATTCGATCTGCTCCATACCAGCCGAGCGCCCGACGCAGATTGTCAACCCTTCCTATGCGACACCTATCCAGATCCTAGGCCGTCTTCCGCCTACCTCACGCGAGGGTTTCCCTAGTTTGCCATTTCTCATCGATCATGCCAGAAGCTTTGCATTGCTAGTGAGATTATGGCTTGATTTAGTGCCAACTAATTTCAGCGAGCTTCCAGACGTCGATGCGAACCTCATCAAATTCCATGAACTGTGCGTCGCGCTTCACCAACGAACCAAGGATTGTTTGAACAGAGCAGAGCAGGCGGAACGACCAAGCGGCAATCTGGAATTGAGATGGGAGGAGTTGGTTGAGCAGATGGAAAAATCCTCAACGTTCTACGAGGAGAGCTCTAGTAAGGCAAACACGCCCAGCATGGAAACAATAGTCGGCAGTGCGGGTTCAACTTTTGCTGGTAGCAATCGGAACTCGATGGGCTACTTTCCACGGCCTTCCTTCCCACACAGATCGACAGATGTCAGCGCAGGCGATGAAGCTGACGATGATACCCCTTCGAGTTCCGCATCAGCTACTTGGGAACATGGACGACTCCCTTTCTCGTCCTCTTTGCAGAAATATGAACCACGAGAGAGTGCGGACAGTTCGAAAAACTCCTCAACTTATTCTCTCGAGTATACCGATACGGCCAAGGGAAGGCAAGCTAGTGTGTCAAGGGATGCCGCGAGCAAATACCGGCTTTTCGAAACTTTCTCCCGAAGGAATAAGGGTAAGGACAAGGAGCCTGTATGCGTAGGACCAGGAACGCGGTCGAAAGAAACAGGAGGGGATGTTGGACCACGAAATGAATTTTGACTTCGATGATGACCTAAAATACCATATCAACGATACATTCAAAACGGGAACAGCCATGCAGAAAGCGTATTACCTTATCCACTTCTTGCAATTTCATATCTGTTCATTTTTTTGGTCTTTCCTTTATCCCTGTGTCTGTCGAATGCATTTATGAATTAACGGGATGTTTATTTGTTTTCTCATATTATCTAACACTGTCTGCAAAATTTTCACTTTGTCTTGGATCTTTTGTGTGGGGGTTTTGTCCAGAGCTGTATCATTTTTAAACAGTCCTCCTAAACCCACATTTTTAACTCCTTCCCCAACTCTACTTTATCTCTCATTCTTCTTACATTATTGAACCTCCCAAGAAAGTAATGCTTTCTTTTGTCATGTCTCTTCTGCATGCAAAACAAGATTCCCGATATTTCCCGTCCATATATTCCTTTCCGAACCTTACGTGCTCTCATGCACTGATTGCAAAGAACTTGTAAAGGATTCTTTCAGCCACAGTATTTCCATGCTAATCTGGGCGCGGGGGCTACCTGCATATTCTATTCTTTCTTATCTATATATATTTCAATGATATCCAGACAACTATTATTGGTCTCCAACTTAGCATATTCTTTTTTGTATACAGAGCTACCAAGGAAACATACAATACTTTTGCTACGGTTTGGTTTCATGTCGACCCAACATACACTTATTTTCCAGAGTCTTGTTCAAAACGTCTTCATGCATTTTTTTCGTCAACTCTTCTCAGCGTCCATTCCTTCTACCCGCAGCTTTCTGGATTTTCTTCTTCTTTTTCTTTTCTCTAATATCTGTCTGTTATTTTCTAATTCATTGCTGCGTAAATTGTGTAAAGTATTTTGAGTACCTCAAAGGTCAGGAAAACAGGCATAAGCAGGTGCGTGGATGTGTTAAGTATTCAGTGTGTGAGTGGTGCGGAACTGATTTTGTGGCTTTTCCACGAGATGGAGTTTGTTCCTGGGTCGAACTCTGTAGCATTCAGCGTGGGAGTGGCGGAGCGGTTCCAGAATAACTCGAATTCTCTTGTGGAATGATTAGAAACAGTCCATTTCTCCTCTAGAACAGTCAAAAATAACCAAATGCTTCGTGGTTATAGGATCAAAAGAATGGTCAAATCCTCAGGGGCCACTATACTGCACAGTGGCTAATCATACCTTAGCAGCTGATTGGCAGATCATGCAATGACTAAGCCATCTATCTATCTCTAAACTAGTTTGTTGAGTGCGACGCGGCGACGCGCACAACCACTCCGTTGAGAGAACTTTCCTTTTTCCAAATGTCGAGGTCGTTGAGCCCGCAATGGTCCATTTTACCATCTATCTTTGTTCCTCTCTTCTTTTTCTGATCGCACATCCGTCAATTCCTCCAACCCAGCATGTACGTGATGTGTGATGTGTTTTCGTCCGGAGCAGAAAGAGGGATCGACGGCGCAAAACTAATATGTATTTTTTAGCCATGTTCTTCGTCCTATGATATGATGAAATGGTTGATTCGACGGGTTCAGAAGATCTTAAAATAGATCTAGATCTAGATATCGTCTCCCAACAGCAACAGGAACTGAATTTCGAACAAACAACTCAGCTTTCTGAAACTGCCAAAGGTCATCGCAGCCCGATCGAGGAATTGGCTGGTATTTCGTTACCACCACTGACATATCCAAAGTCATCCTACCACGGTCATCAATCGACTCAACCGAAGTCTACTGAAAGTCAAGCAGTAGAGACGTTGATCAACGAGTCAGGAATCGATAGGCAGACTTATGAGGAGAGCGAATTTATTAGTCTTCAATTGGATGACTTCGTGATCTACGCGTCGCCCGAGGACTCACCGGCCCCCTATGGCATGGTTTCACTCGATCAGGTGGCTGGAAGGTTTGGAAAACAGACTGTCAAATTTTTCTTTGATGGGGTGCTGAAAGTGCCGGGGAGCCAGGGACTGTACCTGGAAAAAGTGCCATTCCGCTTTGTGTCAATTGGAGGATATGGAGACATCGAGCAGCATCATGTCGGGAAAGATATGTGGATCCAGTCGATTTACGGCGCATCTACATCGCTCGGAGACCTATGGTATCAATTGGGCACGCCCGCCGTAGAATATAAAGACTACCATCAGTCATTTTGCTGGCTTGCTAATCTTGCAAAGTTTTTCATTGACTACCTCCAACATCATGAGAATGTCATTCTACGCCACTTTAAAAACGACTTTTCCTCCTGGCTTAAGGACCTGCACGGGCCGGATCCGTCTTTTGTACAATGGATGGCCGAATACAAAAGTCTCGACTTTAGACACGCTATCAATTCCTACTCCAATTTTCTCGAGAAGCAAGCATGGGATTTGGACCCTACTTACTGCTCTCATCCTCTTTGGGCTGAACTTGGTGTTACTCAGGACGACCATGTTCTCCAAATGCAACCGCAAAAAGCAAAGCGGACTGTTGTCACGCCATACGTATATAAATGTTTCAAAAACATGGTGTGGGCAAATTGCCTTACTTCCGTGGAGCTTGATCCTCAGGTATCAGCAAATCACAAGTCACGGCTGCAAGAGCTTGGCTTTCTACGGAAGAGAAACGAAGTGAAAAAGACGGCCTCAGAATATGCTGTTGCTCTCGATGGTGCTGTAACGGTTCGTCCAAAGGATGTCATTGCCATCCGAAGGGATCATCAGACGCGTTGGAAAGGCACGGAAGACTTGTGGTATGCTGTGGTTCAGGATGTGCATCCCCGTGAGAAGCGCTCACCGAGATTAAGTCTAATTTGGCTGTATCGTCCTTCCGAGACTGTGTGCGCAGATATGACGTACCCTCATGCAAATGAACTCTTTTTTTCCGATCATTGCAACTGTCACGATAGTGTCATAGATACTTCTGAGATTGTTGAAAAGGTCAATGTGACTTTTTATTCCTGTCAAGCGGAGAAAGGGGCAAAGTTTTTCATTCGACAGACATATTTCTCGGAGGATGAATCTTTCACTTCTCTAAAAGAAGAGCATTTCAATTGCCAATGTCGAAAACCCACATCAAAACCGGAGTTCTCAATTGGAGATACCGTCCTTGTTGAAAGCTCGAATAAATCAAACTCCGATCAAGTATATCTCGAGCCAGTGGAAATTTTGGAATTCTGCGAATCTGGATTAGTGAACGTGCGAGTACTTCCCCGCCGTGGACGAGATTATAACGATGCCAGTTGTCGCCCAAATGAGCTTGTCTATACCAATCGGACTCGAAGTATTGATGTAGATCAGATTGAAAGACTGTGCCAAGTCAGATTCTATACTGAGGAGCAAAAACGAGACGGTTCTATTCCAGTACCTTATAACCGAGACGGAACTGGCGATGCCTTTTATATCACTGCGCAGGAGATCAACTCTGAAAACGGACCTGAGCTTGTTTCTTTACAACATCCACCAGTGGGATTCAAAGAAGGTCCTAATTATTCTGAGGATACCAGTTTTCGCAAACTTCGGGCACTCAACATATTTAGTGGCGGAGGGAGTTTTGATAGGGGTCTCCAAGAGGGGGGTGCAATTGAAAATAAATGGGCGGTGGAATGGAGCCATGTTCCCATGCTTACATATCGCGCCAACCTTGATAATCCGGAAAAGATACACTTATTCCTGGGCTCTGTCAATGATTTCCTCCTCCAAGCCTTGCAGGGAGAAGCCAAAGCTAGTAATTTGGTTGCCAAGCTAGGTGATGTGGGGTTTATTTCAGCCGGGAGTCCCTGTCAGGGGTACTCTAGTGTGAATGGCCGCAAAGAAAGCGCAGTATCCATGCAAAACTCATCCATGATAGCATCTGTGGCTTCATACGTCGATTTCTACCGACCGCAGTACGCAATCTTGGAGAATGTGATAGCTATGTCAAATCGGACACATGAGAGAAGCCCATTATGTCAACTGTTATGCACATTTGTTGGTATGGGCTACCAAGTTAGAATTCTTAATTTGGACGCTTGGAGCTTCGGAGCTCCGCAGAGCCGATCCAGGCTTTTCATAGTCATTGCTGCACCTGGACTACAACTACCTGCACATCCTCCTCTCACTCATTCTCATCCGCCGAAGACAACGCAAAAGTCCTTAGGTGAAGCCCCCAATGGCCTCCCTTTTGGAAAGAGACATTGGGAAGCCCCTGTTTTTGACTTCTTGCCAATTTCCAAATCCGTAAAGGATCTCCCAAAAATCGGGAGGGCAAGAATAATTCCCATTAGCCACCCTGACCATCGACCTATACGGTTTGAGTCTATTTCCAATCAACATTTAATCAACAGTATACCGAAGGCTCCAAGGCTCCAAGGATTGCGTAACGCGGTAGCTAGGGGATTCTTTTCCCCGGAAGAAGACAATGCACGCCAACGCAACTGCCAAAGAGCATGGAGTCGGGTGCATCCGCATTTGTTAATGCCAACTGTTACCACATTCCCGTCCCCATTTTGCAAGTTCACAGGGAGATGGCTTCACTGGGAAGAGGATAGAGTGATGAGTGTGATGGAAGCTCGAAGAGCCCAAGGCTTCCCAGACAATGAGGTTTTGGTCGGCTCACCAGCTCAGCAATGGAAGGTTGTAGGTAATAGCGTCGCCAGACAAGTTGCTTTGGCTTTAGGCTTGGTTGTGAGAAACGCAGTTCTTGAGAACATCCGCAAAACAGCGCCCAGGAATGATATCCACGATTCTCATAACATTCAGGTTGTTGTAGAAAAGATCAAGGAGGAATATAGCAAGCCCATCAGCGATCCGGCCGCGGAATCCGCCGAAAATCCTGAAGACGAAACCTCGGATCCCAAAACAGAAGCGGCACTGCAAACGATTCCGCTGTGTGAATTTCCCATTTTACAATCGAAAACTCCTAATGAAAATGATTTTGATAACAGCACTACAACACCAACCCCAACTTCAACCCCACTTGACTGTGCCTCTGATATTCAGCGAAACAAGAGTATTACCACTTCAAACCTAACAGCCTGGAGTTCTCGATGGGAATCGGTAACAGCAAACCCCGGCAACACCGCAACTCCTGGTAGCTTATCAGATAGGAGTGATTCATATTTAAATTTGGACAACCCCAAAAGGGCAGCAGACCTCTCCTCTGATATACTTGGGTCAGGACCTATACTTGTTCCTATTAAGAAGCGGAGATTTAGTGACGAAACTCGAGATGAAAGGAATGGTTTCTCCCTGGGCTGATTTGGATTGGACCTATTGCTGATTAAATGAGATTTCGCAGGAACGGGAAATCGCCCATTGTGGTGTTTGGTGGCAGCTTTGCCTCGGGATGAACATACAATACACACTTGCGCCATATGACAAAAATATTTATTTGTAAATTTATTCGATATTTGTATTTGACTTTGTTCCGTCTGGTTTATGCTAGATTTAAATGAGACATGTGGCAACATAGATATGAATCAACTAGAGATAACCTCAAGATATTGCAAAAAAATAAACCGAAGGATGGCGTATTCCTTTCCCTTTTCCCGGTGTTCTACATCCGCTCTCTGCTGCCAGGACATCCTCGTTCCCCTTCATTCATCCTACATCCACAGGCAAACTTTGCCACTCGCAGTACCACCCACAACCCAATCCATAGTAGGGTGGAATACGGCAACTGCAGGGACAGCAGTTATTAGCCCTTCACCCCCGAGCTGGGCCAATTGGTCACCTGCGGCTGAGTAGATGTCTACGAAACGGTTCATATTTCCGACGCAAAAGCGTTGTATGCTGCTTGATTGTGGAGAGGCTTGCCATTGTGGTTTGAGACTGGAGAGAATTAGAGTTAGTCTGTGGATAGAGTTGTTGCATGTTACATAACTTCAAGAGAGCATTGGAGAAAGAATAACATGCTTAGTTTGAAGAAAATTCAATATCTCGAGTGAAATATGACAAGGGAGTGTAACTTACATGGTAACCCATCGTCCGGTCTGACAGTTATGTCTGAGGGTCGTGATAGGGTTCATGTCATCATCGCTTAACGTATGGCCTGGTTTCCATGAACGGAAACCCTTGGTTCCGAAATCGTGGATTTTAACAGTATTATCGTACGAAGTGGTAGCGACCTGGCCCGCACTGTTGAACGCCGCATGCGAGACGGACAACTTACTCTCATGCTCGCCAATCGGGACAGGGCTCTTCCTGGACAGATGCCGAATATCCCATAGACGCATGAAGCGGTCCAAGCTGGCAGTTGCAAAAAGGTGTGGCTGTGAGGGACAGAGGGAGAATCCACCGATTTTCTTCTCTGACAGCTGAAAGATATCTGTACTGCTCCTCTTCGTGTTTTTATCGTAAAATGGATGCCCGTTTCCCGACATTCGCGTGTCGTGCCGGAAAAAAAATCCCTCGAGTGTCGTAAAGTATAGAAGGTGTGGGTCACCAGGCGCCATGTCTATGCTGGACACTGCTTCTTCGTCTGACTTCGAGGCGGGTGCGTAGGCTTCGGTGGTGACGGATTTCTCAAGATCCAAGGCTCGAATGGAACCGTCGTAGCTGGCTGTGTAAAGTTTGGATGGGGTAGAAGGGTGCAGGCACATAGCGCTAATAACCCTGGCGTGAGGCTTTATGATCGTGATTTCGGGATCAGGATCAGGATCATCTTCGTCTTCGTCTTCGTCTTCGTCGCCTTCAGTTTTCACCGCAACAGGGCGCGTTTGTGAAGCATCAAAGATGCCCAAGTTTCCTAGCTTATCACCGGCGAATACTAAAGGTTTAGTCTCAGTAGGATGGAAGGCCATTGAATATATTCTTTCCGGTGTTATTTTCAACCCTATATCGTGTCATTATTAATATCTTTGGGCTAAATGGTAATATTCCACTGACGGCAATACACTCACTATTCGGCTCCCATGGCTCCCAAAGATTCAAGCCACTCATCCTTTCCCTCAAAGATTTTAACTCCTTATCTGTCGTTTTTTTGATATCTTCCTCGCCAAAGGTCCGCACATAACGTGGTGGAGCTGCATCCTCCCCCCCAAACAACAATGACCCATTCCATTTCTGGCCTCCCACAATTATATCCCCTACATTAAGATCCCCGGAAACCCGCATTCTTTTTGCCTGCACAACAGCCTTTTGAGCTTCATATTGCTCCTCAGCTTTTCGTTTTGCAATCTCGCTATCGGCCGTCAATCCAGCAAGTCGCGATGAGGTTCTTCGTGGGACGGGTGTCTCATTCTCCTTCTTGATGCGTGGAGTCGATTTCTTCTTAGTCGACTGTGTGGATAGCCTGGAGGATTTAGTAGAAGGTCCTTTGGTAAATAATCCAGAGGATTGAGCTTCCTGAGTAAGTTTTTTCAAAAGCGCATCGCGCTCTGCGATATTGGCTGCGCGCTGTTTCTCGAAATCGGATAGCTCTGGGACGGTATCTGTATGAGGCATGGTGACGGGGATTACAGGAAGAAGAATATGAGGAAGGAGTCAAACAGCGGTCTCAGCGGTTTTACCAGACCTTGTTGCATACACCGCTTCCCTCAATGTTGGATGGCTGACTTGCGACGCCGGGATTTTTGGCTCCCAGTTGAATTCAATCGCGTCGGAAGTCGCGACATCACATGATCAAAGCCAATTATTCTTTTTTAGGAATAGCGTGAATTTCCACGTGGTAACGGCAACCGCGGACGTTGTTCAATTCGACAGAGCCACAAAAGAACAAGAAGAGATTGATTAGTTGCGGCAGACTCGGATCTATTGCCATGGTTGGTAACCTACGTCGGGGATTCGGGGCGTATCAGAATGATGGCATTTTACTTTCGTTTCTGCATCATACCCGGGCTATGATGGGACCAGCGCTGCGACCAGCGCTGCGTTATAAATCGTTGCCGTTCCTGTTTTCACAGCCCTCTTCCTGTCCCGCTTCCATGAGATTATATCAGTCACGCACCGTTCAATTTAAGCATCCCAATGGCGAATACGTTCGCCCAGAGCTTGACAAATGGTCCGCTCCTGGCACAACGGACAACTCACAGCGGAACGCTTCCCCCAATCAGTTCACCGATCTTCCTTCACAGTCTAACTCTGGAAATAGCAGTGAGAAAGAGCGAGATTGGGACCTGCTTTCTTCGGCTATCGATTCTTTGAAATCCTCTTCGGATCCCAAACTCGATGTCTCGCTTACAGCTTCTCGTTTTTCGGAGGCGCGAGCTCAAGTAAAGCGATCCTCGATGTTTTCCTGTTCGGACGGCGATGTATTGGCCGGTATGATGCCACCTGCCCAGAAGAACGCGAGAGGGAAACCGGAGATACGAAAAGCTAGGGTGGCATTGGAAGACAGTCGCCGTTTTAATCAGTCGGACCCAGTCGATGAAACCCCTGACAGGGCTCGTAAGGCCTTTGCGCGTGACAGTGATTATGGGTCACAGATCAAGATGCGAAATGCTAGGTCCGGCAAATCTGTGCCTCTCGCGAGAATGTCTGCTAGAAGACAAGCTAAGCTTAAAACTTGGCAAGAAACGACAGTGCCGGGTGACAGCGCCAAAGAGTCTCTCGGGGTACAAACAATCGGAGAGACACCATTAGAAAAGGAGATCTATATTCCTTTTGAGAAAGCAAATCGGAGACCGGAAGACATTCCAGAAAATTGGCATGAGGTTGAGATGCCAGATCGCAATACAGTTGGAGAACAAACTCTTCGATATCAAGGGAAAGTATATGGGTTTGCGGCTGGTGACAAGGATGAACTAGTGTCTGGCATAGGGGCATTCGGGCCTGGTAAACTCGCTAAGGAACTGGGAAACCGGGCGATCAAACAAATCACTACAGAGCTGGACGCCTGTATATCAAGCGGCAGGGGCGACATCGGAATCTGGAGGGTTTGCGAAGAGCGCATATTCGCAATGCTGAAACTTTTCTCTGTTGAAGATGAAGTCATAACTGCTACCATGCCCCATAATGAGGCTATATCAAAACGATCCAGCCGATTGGATAGGCGCCTATCTCGAAAGTGTCACATGAAAACCGAGATGGCATCAGAAACACCCAGCCTCAACGATTCGCGATTCAGCGATCCTTTGGATATCCCTGTCGGTATCCCGCGGAAGCCTTTTGTTTTGCACACTTTTCCCGCAACACTCCTCTATGCTATCCGACTACTTCACACTCATTTTCCTATGTCAGAAATAACAATACAGATGCATGCTGCTATCAAAGCTCGTGGGCGCATCGCCCGCCTGCTCGCGTCAGACACGGAGATTTTTAATGAATTAATATCCTACCATTGGCGCGTCCACAATGACCTTCCGCTTGTGAATATTCTTTTGAAGGAGATGGAAGATAATGGAGCTACAATATCTTCCCGGACAATGGAACTGCTAAATGAGATAGCGGATCAAAATAAAAGGGAGCGGTTACTGAGCAGAACTTCGGAGAAGACTGCTCTTGGCAGTGGAGCTCCATGGATTTCCGACCTCACATATCGCGCGTACAAGGAGTTCATCGGCATCAGAGGCCAGTTCGAGGGCTTGTTCTCCAAAGTCAAGAAACTGCGCAGATTTGAAGGTCATAAATCGAAAATAACAGAAAAGATGCATAGGAAGTTACCAGTGGATATCAAGGGGTCGGCAAGTACGGAATATTCACATCTCCATAAACGCCGCGGGAACTTCATGCCATGTATCGATGACGATGCAGAGTAGTCAGAAAGTGGGGTTGAGTCCTTCTCCGCCGATTGCATTTAAGCCTTTTAGTGTTGCAGTTGCGCCAATTTATTTGACTTTCCCTCGTGGTTATATCCATTAGTAGAGAATACCATAAATTTTACCCGCAACGAGAAGGAAATTCTCCACTCAACCGAATAACCAATGTTCTCCGCCTTGGTTAGTTCGTCCCTCTGTAAATGAAGTATACAAAAGGCCCCAGTAGCGGCCCTGAGATCCCCTGTTGAATCCCGCCGTTCTCTGTTACCTCTGTTTTCTCCAACGTACAGTACAAAGGAACAAGAATGAAAGTTCCTGCTGAGAGGCTCCGAATAATGCTCTTATCCTACATCAAAATTAATTATACATCTTTCCGCGAACTTCAACACCACATTTATCCACCGCCCTTCCCCACTCAATTACAAGAATACATCTCTATATAGGCCTATCATATTTTCATTCCCCAACTCCTGCCCACTCCAACAACACTGCCTGCAACAAACCCCAAGTACCGCTTGGCGTCGCTCAGAGTCCTCGTAACAAGATTGACATCGCTGAGTTGCCGTTCAACAAATTCCTTGGTTGCAGAGAATCCGGGGGAGGTATCCTCTGTCATAAATACGTCGGCGCTGGCATAAACAGTCGCGACAGAGAGTCGCTTTGTGTACCAGGAGGAGTCCACGGAGTGGTCGTTGGCCAGATAGAGAATGTCAGAGGAGAGCGCAGATAGCTCGGAGATTGACGGAGCAAGATTAAAGGGTAAAGACATGGTTGCTAGCGCCTGTTTTTGGTTGTCAGGTTAGTCAAAACACACCAATGTAGTGGCATCAAAATTTGCAGAGTAGCAGAAGTGTGGGGATTATGAAGAAAACACTCACATCCTGCCAATGCTCAATTATCTCCTCGTTCATCTTTAATCTTTCCAATATCAATATCAGTACCTTCTCCTCCACGCTTAATCCGCCAATTTCTCCGGGTTCAGACATGCCAAAAAACTCTCCGCTCTTAGTTTTCTGCCTTAACATACCCCTTCGACTTCTCAGCCAGTAGGTTATCAGGTTCATCTCTCCGCCATCCGGAAATAGCTGCAATGACACGTCCAAGTATCCTGCATCTCGAGCCCCCAGGGTAAGCGAACGGGTTGTAAATCCAAACTCAGGAATATGGTTTACTGCCACAGAGAGAATTGCGGATTGTTCAGGAGTGTATGTGTCCGCTGGCGGCTCTGGGGTAGGGTGAAATTCAGAATGGTAGAAACGGGGAAAAGGGATAGAGATGTTCGGAAGGCGTCGAGGGTTTTCGCAGGAATGAAAATATCTATAGCGGCAATAGTGCGCGGAGTGCGCCACGAGGGCAGTTCGTCGCTGCAGAGAAACGCAAGGAATTGATCGAGAAGAGAAATATCTGATATTCGTGGGTTTAGAGATTAACGAACGGAAAGCAGGACAGTGCCCGAGGGGAATTGACTGCGTCATTGAAGTCGTAGGATGTAGGAGCGAGCGACTGAAGATGTGGTTTGAAGAGCCTAGCTACCCGCGCCACTCAAGGTAAATGGGAATTTGCACTGCATAGGGATTCTGTAGATCATTTATCCAGTTCAATTAATCTCGAAATTCAGCCCAGCACCGCGGTTGAGAACTTGAACCAGGTAACCGTTTCGTTGAAGGTGAGCCCGTAACTCATTATCAGATTCCGCACGGAAGGTTCGGGGCTCTGGTTTTGCTTGGCAAATTTTTGAGCCTCTATTTAACTAACCCCCACTAAAATATTACATTACCTTCCTCCTCATTTTCATTCGAGTGTCGGCGGTCTTTTTTCTCACTTTTCTCATGTTCTAACACTCTAGCTAACTCCAGTCCTCACCCTAATCGATTGTGTTAAAGATGCATTCGGAAACAAGGCTTCGGTGCAATGCAGTGTCCATGTCGCGTACCACCAGCACCCTCCATCAACCGCGCTTGACAACTTCTTCCCACCACTGGGAGCTCATCTATTTGCCGTCGACCTTGCTAGAAATTGAGGAGTGAAGAGATAAGTCCCTTAATTCCGTTGCTGTGACGCTGAAGCAATATTTACCGCCCTACCTGGCCAAAATATGTATATACCGAGTGACCCCGCCACAGGCATCCATTTATACCTGTGTGTCCGAAATGGCACAAGACATCAAGGAATTGTCCGTGTGAAAAGAGCTTTATCCATGATATTTATTGCTAATTACATACTTCTGGAGTCAGTTGCAGTGACTATGTTCCCCGATGTTGTTTCTATGGAAAGAGCGCCACCTTCCCCAATGGACGGGTTATCCCTCCCCCCCGACATTCCCGGGGGCTTATAATTCTGTAAAGGTATTGTGTCTCTGAAAGCATCCGGAATGATTTCTAGGCGACCCAAATATCCCGTGTTGAATGACTTAACGAATGGCTTGAGACATGCGATCGTCGCAGCGATAAGGCCGTAATGCAGTTCGATCTCCATGCAAACAGAGGGGTCTACCCCATAGAAAAACGGGTCATCCAACATGTTTTGTTTTCGGAGATAGAAAATGCGCAATGCAGCAACTATGATCACACTTCATCAAAATTAGCATTACTACACCCTGGAGTTATCAAATATGCCTGTTCCACCGGCCAAAATACTCACGGGAGCCGGAATGAAAAAGCCAAAAAAAGCACTAATTTCGATTTCAATTGCACGTGTAAACCCCAGGCAATATACGCTGGAAGCAGTGCCAGCAGGAGTTCCACTCCAATCCCGGAAGTTTCAACGCCAACCCAAGTGGGATACTAAGCTTGGGTTAACGATTTCAAGTCAACACGGATTCATTATCGAAGAACAACGTACCGCTTGGAAGCATCTCAAATCCATTTGAGTCCAAGGACTTGGAACCTTGCATCTAAAGCAGACAGCTAAAGCTACTGCAACACCCCATACAATTGTCAGGATGAAACCCGCATATGCCAGACTAGCAAGCCTTGTATATTTTGTGAGGCGGGCGATGAGCATAAATGTGCCGGCTTTCGACAACATCAACCCAAGGACGTAAAATATATCGCCGGCGTACGCAGCCTAAATTGAATGGATCAGAAAGCTCAATTCGAACCTGTACTGCGGAATAGGACTTGTTACTTTTTGAATGTTGAGAATATCTTGGTCTTCCAAATCAGATAGCCGCTTTCCAAAGCCATCGCGAACTTCTACCAATTTGGCGCTCGAATGTATAATTGCGACTGCCTGACCTCAAAAAAGCCAACATCATATCAGTTTTTACTTCTTATCATCGATCGATACCAAACGGGTGGCGACAAGAGAGTGAGAAGCTTGAAAATAATGAAATATAATTGCTCACCGTGCCGGCCGTGATGACCCAATCGTCAGAACCAAATGGCCCGTTGATTGTGGTTCGCGTGAGTATTCTTGCAAGGAAGCATAATACCATGTACACCATCATAAGACTCGCAATGATCGTGACCAAAGGACCGCGATCATTGTCGGTAATATGATGAGGCCCCCAAGTGTCTGACGCCATCGATTGTGAATGGAACTATGGTGTGTCGTCCAAGAGGCATTCAAATTCAGGGTCTTTCACTTTACTAAATAAGCAAGACAGGGGAGTTGCCACCAGCAAACGCTAGCTCCAGCCAGTTACAACGAACAGACAAGAAAGGACAATACCGAATTTCAGGTGGTAGTCCCGCAGATGCTCGCTCTTGGCATTCTGGGCATATTCCGGGTTTAAAAGATGCACACACTTCATTATTATGGAAATCGAAGCATCAAAGGAATTTTGGACGGGCTTTTGCAGAATGCGTGGAGATGCGCAACTTTGCTGAAGGTCGGACGGGAAACCCCCGCCCGGTGCTCCACATCGACACCCATCACCCCAGATCGGAGCTTGTGCCAAGTCATACCCGCTATCACGACCTCTCTCAGTTTGAAGTCTGCTGTTTATTGGGGTCTCATTGGTTTATATTTCGCTGGAAGTGGGGTAAAAGGATTTGCGGGTAGTCAGCCAACCAGAAAGTTCAAAGTAATGTACAGTACATCCGACAAGTGATATTTTGTCCATCGCACATCGTCCCTTCGGCTTGTCGCACGGGAAATCCTTTTTATATCGGACCGTCCGTTTATTTTCTCCACCTAGGAGCTGATTGATGCCGTTGATTCATTATTTATGGCGATACATACTGTGTAGGAATCCGGCTTTCTTCAGGTGGTTATCAGGTTTCAAGTTACATACCCTTACTGATACTAAAATCGAGCTAACTTGCATGAAAACAAACTACTACTGTCCTAGCGAGTCATGCAAAGAACATCATCAAGCTAGTCTGGATTTGCATCATATATGGCGAAATTTTGCCAAAAAACCTTCAAACCACCATGGCTTGCATTTCAGAAATGCGCGCTGATTGATGTAAAACTCTGAACTGTGCGATTTGTATTTCGGAGGCCTGAGCTAGGGTTTCTCGTTGTTCGATTCGGACCGGATCGAAGGTGGTGGAAGGCTAGGGTTGAGTAACGCCAGGGACTTTAAGCGACTCCACTATCAAGGTACCACCACGTGGGGATTGAGGGTCTTCGCTACCAAAGTTGGAATGAAACCTTATACAAGTCGTTTCAGCGCAACATCCAGATCTCTCCTGGCAAACGGGGGGAATTTTTCGAACATTTGGGTCCCACCATCCGTTTCCGTTTCAGTCGCGGGAGATAGCATGTATATGATTTATTTATTTACTCTACCAATTTGAAAGGGAAACTGAAAACACACCAGGTTGTTCTGTTGGGACCACAGACCTGAAGATCACACTGCTTTGCTCAGTGAATCTTGCCGCGGCAACACGATGCAGCAGACGCGGGCATATCTCTGCCTCTCACATGATGATTCAGGTTTTAGCGCGCTCTTCTTCCTTGGGCATCTATTGACCAGAGAAAAAAATCATTCTGCAAGAGTATACCTATTGGGGCTAAATCAAGATGCCCAGGTGGTTGGGTTGAAATTGGTCAGGGGCCTGGCATATTCCAATAAAAGCGCGGTGGGTCTATGATCTTATTGGAGGAAAAGATATATTTCAATCAGGAGGTTTGTGGTTAAATAAACACGAAGCCAGGTACTCTCTGTAAAGTCTATTGCTCTATTGCCACTCGACACATCATCATCACTTGTCAATGCATAGAACGAAGATCGGTACAGATTGCCTTCTACACAGCTATGCCTGCTGGTGCTCCGTGGTGGTTTGTGTCCTGCAGGATTAAACTCTATCTCCACTCTGTGAATTCCTGTTGATAAGTCTTCCTTGTGCTTGGAACTTTAGGCTTTGTAGATATACAGTACAACGCTGTCCTCTCTGATCGCAGCGACTTCCGCCAGTAACCGGAAATCCTGTCCGTATGCCTGGTCCAGAGTACCGAAGGGCTCTCCAGTGTCGAGGACCTTCCCCATCGACCTTAGATCGCTTCGGCCCGACCAATCTCTCTTCTGCGCGAGCGCTTCCAACCGAGGATTCAGCCTGGATGCCAAGGACTCCTGCTCCAGAGTGCCGGGGTTAACAGCGCCACAGCATGAAGCCCTGATGGGGCCTGGGGGGACTGATGGGAACGTGAATGGAGTGATAATTATTTTCATTGGCATAACTATCACATCAACCGCCCGACCCCGCACAACTCCTAACTTAGTACTTTCCAGGACCTGAAGGATGAGACAGCCCAGACGCCCGAGACACCCTAAGCATTATTGAGCAACTTGGCAAATCAAAGTCATCGGCGTTTGGTCCCCTTCTACTCCGTACTCCGTATTCTGTAGAATCCGGGGCGATTAAGTTTCGGCCACCGAGCCAGTTTGGCCTGGCTGCGCTGAATGGTTCGGCGCTTGGCGTGGGGTTGGGACTCAACTCTCGATCTGCACCAGCCCCTTTTTGCTTTGCCGCCTCTGCACATATGGTTGGTTGGCAAGGAGCACCACTTCCTGACATTGCCTGCCATCGCCGGGAGCAGCTAGCGAAATATATGTATGCGCCACGGAGCGTTTCCATCTTATCCATGGATGGCACGCTAAACATGCAGACGACGAACTCGTTCCCTCACTGAAACCCACTTGTATTAAGGCTGGATGCTGGAGCACTAACTGAGCATCCAATTTTCTGGAGGATGCGGTTGGCCTTATCCTCCTTCTTGAATAGGCATATATCAGAACCGAGAAGGGATCTATATTCCTACGTAAATGAGTTTCGAATGTTCACCAAATATTCGGAGTCACCAGAGCAAATCCATGCCCCGGGTAGCCACTTTGTGCAGGGTTCAAGGGAATAGCAGCGTCAGGTCGTCCTGCATGAACGGGTCGCCACTGGAGAACGTTGTGTAGTTCTTCCCCAGCTTTCCTTTTTTGTTGTCGATATTTATTCCTCTCTTCCCCCTCTCTTCGGCGAGAACTGCAATGAAAAAATGAGTGTTTTTAAATACCGTTTTGGCCAAAGCTTTCACTTTCCTTGATCCACCACGTTCATTTCTGCAAGAAAGACTGACCACCAGCGTCTCTAGCTCTTGTTTAGAACGTTGCGTTTGCGCCTGCGATAGACGTGGTCACCGTGGGGTTGTTCCTTTGGCGCTTGGCGTATTCCGTCCCCATCTATATAAAACAATAAATAAGGAAAGGAAGTTTTGGATGAGAGACGTGGGCGCATCATGGAAAGCCAGATATTCGAAAATAATAAAGCCACTGGCAGGGTGGGAGTTAGCATGAGCTCCGCGGATGAAGCGACGAATCAGGACCAGGCCGACATGGCTCGTCTTGGAAAAGACCAGCAATTCAAGGCGAGTTCTTCGTGCTCTACTTTGCAAACCATATTCATATTATTTCATGGAACGATTTCCCAGCGCGTATACATATGGGGAACCCTTGGTTAACTTTTTGCACAGAGAAACTTCCGGTTTTTGTCGACGCTTGGGTTTACCTGTACGCTTATGGCGACCTGGGAGTCCATTCTTTTGTACGAGTTCCTCGACTGTTTTGAGTTCCCGAATTCCCGTTCGAAAAGCATTTGTATGCTGATATGTTATACCCAGGACTTCGACTCTCGGGCTGAGTAATGGTGGCCTGGCGGGATCTGTATACATTTATATCGGGTCCTTTATCGGATTTTTCACATCTGTAGCATCTATGGCTGAAATGGCCTCGATGTAGGTTCCTTGCCTGAGCCATTTCCCCGCATTTTGCAATTTACAATACCAACAAGTTTTTGATGTTCAGTTCTCCTACATCTGGCGGCCAATACCATTGGGCCAGTGAGTTTGGTGGAAGATCATATCAAAAGTTTCTCAGTTATGCGACTGGTAAGTTTGACGACGAGTGACATTCCAACTCTGTATACTGATCCGGGGGGGGGGGGGGGGGGTATTTCGCAGGCTGGCTCTCGGTCTTGGGATGGCAGGCTGCCTTCGCCAGCGTATGTTTCCTCTGTGGAACACTCATGCAGAGCCTGATACAGTTGAACCAACCCGGATATGCTGCAGAGAGATGGCATGGTACTCTCTTTACTGCTGCTA